CAGAGAGGTTTTAGGGTTGATATACTGTGTAAGGCAGCCTCCAGAAGGCTCCCATGCTGAGCTGTCCTTAGTGCCTGAGCTCTGGGTGTGAGCAGCTTAGGGGAGCTGGTGAGGATGGGGTGTGGTGGGCAGGAAGGAAGGGGTGAAGACAGGAGGGTTCAGAGGGGAAAGAGGAGGCAGTAAAACACTCCCAGCAACTCCCTGGAGGTCACAGTCCTGGGACAGCCAGTCCTGCAGCCTCTCTGGAGGCAGGGAAGGATACCAGGGCAGTTGCCCCTTATGTAACTGTGTACTTCCTCTGACGTGCCTTGGCTTGTTAAAGGTCTCAGCTGGGCCGAAGGAGCAGGATTAATTGGCCCTCAAAGCAGAGGGAAGGGAGAGCCTGGACCTGGAGGAGGCTTCTTTTGTGTGCCTCCCCCACCCCTCTGCCTCCAGGCCCTCTAATCCTCTAACTCCTCTCCTGTCAGGCTTCCCTCGTGGCCCCACCTGGTGGTTCAGAGCACCCATCTTGCAGCCCTACAGTCCTGGGTTTCTGCCACTTACACGATGTGTGATCCTGGGCCGTCCCTGCACCGGTTTCTTCATCTGTGCAATGGGCGATGTTGGTACCTGCTCAGAGGGTGGTATGAGGATTAAATGCAGTGACCTAGTGAGGTGCTCAGCCAAATGCCCATCTTGAGTTGTTACTGTATCATTTATCCACCTGTAAACACCCAGACCTTGCCGTGCACAGCTCTTCACAGCTTACAAAGCCCTTTCACCTCTCGCATCTTGCATGTAGTCCTCACAGCAGCCCAGGAGGTGAGGCAGGATTAGAAGCCCCTTCACAAACTGAGGTTTAGGGGGAGGTGAGTGACTTGTCAGATGTCGCACAGCCTGTCAGACGTGAAATGCAGGTCCAAACCCAGGGAGATTCAAACCAAAACCTGTGGCTCTTTCCCCTAAACCGTGCATAACAGCAGTGACCCAGCACTGCTGGAGGCTGTTCTCTGCCTGCCCCCCTCAGCTCTCACCCTGTCCCAGGACTGTGAGAGCCCACACTGCACAGTCCCAGCTCCGGGACAGCCCCCTTGCCACTTTGGGTCTTAATTTCCTTGTCTTTGATGTGGGGACAGTATCCCTTCCCTGTAGGATTTGGGGGTTCAGCGAGATATGGGATGGAAGACCCCAGAGCTGGATGGGCCCCACGAATGGCACCGATCTGGGTCCCCTCCTCACGTTCTTTCCCTTGGCTCAGGAGCCAGAGGCTGTGAAGGTCACACCCTTGTTGAGGGTCTCTTGGGAAACCCGTCTTTGGCACATCTGGTCTTCTGGGATGGCATTCCTGGTGTATGGTCTTTGCACCCAGCCTTTGGGAACGGGGACGGAGCAGAGTGGCTGTGAGAGGAAACACAGACTCGGAGAGACAGGGGAGAGGAGGAGGGTGCAGCTTCCTCCTCGTGGCACAGCCCCGGCCCTGGGCTGGTGTGTGGGTCCCAGGGATGTGAGAAGCCAGAAAGTCCCACAAGTCCCCTTCTGATGTCCCCAGAACTCCACTCCACTCCACCACTGGCCTTGGCTCCACAAGGGCCTGCCTCCTGCCTCCCTGTCTTCAGCTTCCCACCTTTCTCCTGACCTTTCACCTCGCTCCTGACCCTTCCCCTCGCTCTCCTGGCTGTTCTCTCTGTATTCCTGCCCTTTTCTCCTTCTCCTCCTACATCAGACACACACTCATTCACACGATGCTGACCCTTGCCTTTCTATCGGGCCCCAGCAGAGGAAATCTGGGTTGTGGCTCCGGCAGCAGAGGGTGTGCGTGCTCCCCGAGTGGCCCTGCCACTGGGCCTCTACTCATGGGAAGCTCCCCTAAGTCCCCAAGGCCCCGGTCAAGGGAGAGATGTGACTCCCTGGGACCCAGCCAGGAATCCCAGGGGTAACACAGCCTCTCTGCCCCCTGCCACACCCCCTTTTGTCAGCTCAGACCTTTGTGGGGAAGGGAGGCATTAGGCAGCACCCTTGCTGTCCCATGGGCACCATCCCTGTAGCCAGGCAGAGGGACAGAATGCAGATGTGCAAACAAAGCTGGCTAATGGAGGAGCCACAGATATAGACGTGCACAGCAGAGCTACGTGAGCAAATATACTCAG